GCGAGAACTGGACTATGGACCCGGCGCAAGGCCGCAAACTGCGCCGCAACTTTAACACCGAGGAGGCGGCGCGCGCCTCCCGGCGAGGGGATGGAAAGGACAGGGAGAATGGGAAGGACGGGGAGGACGGAGAGGAAGGGAAGGACGCGGAGCAGCGGCGTCCCAGCTTCGATGGCGACGCGCTGTCGGGGGGAGGGGGGATGTGGGTAAACCCGGCGTTTGTTGACGACGAGTTGACCGTCGATGAGGCTCAGCCGGCCGCCGGCGAGCAGGCTCGGCCCGGCCAAGCCGCAGGCGAGGACTCGGAGGAGGAGCACCGGAGGCGCGACTCCTCGCCAGGGACGGCCGAGCGGGAAAACACCGAGCGAAGGGCAAGCAGCCGGCGAGAGACCACGTTGGAGAGCAGCAGGGAGGAGCAGGCGACGGATGAGCAAAACGAGCGGCAAGGGGACACCAGCAAGCAGGCTGAGGCTGGCCTAGGTGAGAACGCTCACCAGAATGGATGGTCCTCACAGAATGCGGATGTTGGGCAGCTGGAGCGCCCGCAGCGGGACAACCGTGGGGAGGATACGAGGCTGTGAAATGCAACGCAGACTCCTGACGCACAGCAATGGGCCGAATTCGGGGACAGGTGACGGTAGTGTGAACGAAGTTCAGCCAGCCAGCATTTTTCCGTCCGGCTGATAAGAGACGTTCGCTTCGCAAGCTGGCCTGAGTCCCCGGCTCACCGAGAACCCGCGTGAGCGGCCACAACCGCATCGAAACACTGCCAGCGGCGCCCGTGCGACGGCACGGACAGGAGGCATGTCGGGCGCGCAGGCATGAGGCGCTGAACAAAGCCCGCTGCTCTAAACGCAGTTGGATCTCTGACCGCCCAGCTGCGCCCCAGACAGAGACCAGCCCACTCGTCCCGCCGCGCGCGCGCGAGAGCGCCATCGAGCGGGAGGTGGCCGGCCGGGCCCATGGGCAGCGCTCGGTGCCCGGCCGCGGCGCCGCGGCCGGCGGAGTCGTCACCGACCGGTGCGGACGGCCGGTCCTGACCCGAGCCGCCCTCCCGCCCGCTCCTCTCCGCACACCCGGACATCGCCGACTCCGCGACGGGCGATAGCCCAATACTCATCGCTACGAACACTGTGATACGCTATCTGTGTTTTGCGGGCCGGGCCGGTGCCGCCGCGTCTGCCGCCAGCCTCGCAAGGTCGCGCGCGGCGCCGCGAGAGAGCAGCCCGCCCCGGCGGCGGCATAGCGGCGAGACAAGCACGCTGGGGCGCGCCCCAGTGATATGTCATGGCTGGGTATCCCTCAACGCTCCGTCTTTCGCCTGGCATTGGATGATTCTGGTCGCCGGGCCCGTGGACTGCGAGTGGACTGTCCAGCGTACAAGCCAGCCATGTTCGTGCTGCGCGTGGTAACCAATATACTTAAGGTTCGCAACTGCTGCTTTCAAAGTGAAACGTATCGTTCAAGGAGAGCTGGGGCCCATAGGATCCCTAGTTTTGTCAAACGTTTTAGGGTGGCAACAGCTTGAAAAACAACGGCTTGGAAAACAACTTGGAAAACTCTAGGAGACGCCAACGGCCCCGCAGACCCCACAATGAGGGCTCAGAGCTCACAACTGAAGCCTCAGAGCCCACGAGGCGCAAAGCTCCAAGACTGCCGCCACTTTGCTGCTCAGAACTCCAAAGTTCAGGTGCAATTCTCGACGTTTCCGTGGTCTCAGTGACAGACTCCATGACCGAAAGAGAAATACGCCCGACTCGTAATAGAGCGGCACTGGATACGAGTCCCAGAGCGGGCGCTTTGTTTGGCCCGACTAAAATTGCAGTCAGCTGGCAACTGGCCAACAACCAACCGAGCTGCGGGGAGGCATTGTCGCAGCATAGCGTGGCAAGTAAAACCATCCACATCCTCTCTGACGAAAGGGCAGAGGCAAAGGATTCACGGTACACGCAATAAGATGTGCTTAGCAGGTGCTCTGAGCCCAAAGCTGCCCCTGCATGTCATTCGAAATGAATTATATAAATAGCACAGGAGCTGCCTCCATTTGCTTCCAAGGAGCCGTCCGTTGCGCAACACATTATGCTGCAGCTATTTCTACCCTTCGAAATCTGTTAACATCTATTGGGGCCTCAAGACCCCGGAAACCGTTTTACCACAGGCTATTACAGCGCCGTGTAACATCGACTTTGGTTCTGTTCTTGGTTTATTAACGCATGCCTGTCTATGTTATGCATGCCAATATCAACGCATGTCTGCCTATCAATGTGCTGATGTGCACCTATCGTACTTAGTTCTACGCCAGTATCCACCCAGACGATATTTTCTCTCCATCGCACCATGTTCACGTTGTTAATGACCAGAATACGCTGCACTGTCGGAAGTAGGCAAACGGCGGAAGCACGAGATTGAATGAAGTCCTGGCAGTCAAAAGCAAACCCCTCTTAACATCAGCAGTCGGTGCAGGGTGCTTATTTTGCGAAGAACCAAAGTAACTTGAAAGAGGACACCCCAACTACACCACAAACCCCCAAGCCGCGGCATCATAACGAAAAGCCGGATCGGGAAAAAGCCGGTCCAATTACATTCAGCGCATATTTTGACGCCACAACTACCTCTGGTCTATGCCACAAATACATCTGTGGCAAGCGGGGAAAAGGAAGCATGCCAACTATGTAAGCTTGACTTCACCGGCATTAGCGGATTTACGACCATCGGCGCGACACGCATACTGAGACGAAGAAGCTGCAATTCGAGCCTCCGTGTTTTTGTCAAACAATGACAAGGGCAGTCGGCTCGTGTCGTATCTAATCAGCGTGACGCAGGTCTGGGCCAGCGCCCGCTGCCGAGAAGTACTGGGGATGCCTGCTCACCCCGCGTAGGCTGCGTGACGGCCGGGCGTCTGACGCGATGAGGCCGACGCCGCGTCACTGTTTGACCCGGCCAGGCAAGGGTCACCCGGGCCACGAGGTCACGAGGTCGGAGACTGTCCGCACGCCGAGCTCGCCAGGGCAAGATCGCTCCGGATCGGGGGAGGTGCATGTTCACACGCCATCTGAAACACACGCTGCTTGAACGAGTAGAGGCAAAGGATTGGACTTCCTTCAACAGAGATGTCCTTCGTCCTTCAACAGAGATGTGGATTCATGAAGGCGTGGCGTTGCCATCTTGCAGACATCAGCCTTGGTGTATTGGTGGCGGCAAAAGACAGCAATACTTGCCCGGGGCCGGTAATAGAACCGAGCTCCCAACCATTCAGTACGAGCCAAGATGTCGTGGTGCCATCTCAGTCCGGGCAATGTCAGCCGATCAGTGACACTCAAGGTCCGGGCAAGCCATGCAGAAATCCTGCCTCCACAGTCCGCCCAAAGAGCCCCGTTAAATATGATGATGAACATGATGATGAATATGAATATGATGATAGATATGATGAAAAAGATGATAAAGATGAATATGATGATAAATATTATGAAATATGATGATAAAGATGAATATGATGATGGATATGATGAAATATGATGATAAAGATAAATATGATGATAAATATGATGAAATATGATGATAAATATGAACATGATGATAAATATGATGAAAAAAGATGAAAAAGAAAAAATCAATGTCCGAAGGTACTCACTTACACTTTAGGAATGCATTTAGGACATCCAAGCCCCATCAGCATGACATGGCGTTTCGGTATGCAACGTTGGCATCCACATCACATTCGCCAATACTTTACAGCGTTTGAAAAGCTTGGAGAGGGCTTTGGGATATCACGGGGTACGGTCAGACATGAAATGCAGCATTTTTGTTGCTCATCGTAACAAAAGAGCTGTAATTCATTCCAAGTAGGCAACTGCTAGGTTCAGCACACGTCTCGTCTCGAGCGCGACCGCAGCTGTATCCGTGCACGGGGGGGGGGGGGGCGCCCCCCCCCCCGCCCCGGGAGCACGTGACGTCACGGTCCGCCGGCGGACTGACCTTCCATGGCCCGGAGCCGTGAGCGGCGGCCGGCCAGCAAACGCACAGCGCCCGTCACCACGCAAGAATGACCACCGAATGGTTTTCCGTCGACGCACTTGTCGAGCGGATCACAGGCCGAGGTTGACAGTTTCAACGTCATTTGTGACGCCAAAGGAACATGAAACGCTCAGTGCGCTTCCTGTCAGAAGCTATGACGTTTCGATTATTTCGTGCCTAATGTGATGCAACATCACAGTGCTCTTTCACTGAGCAATAGTCGGAGGACTACGTAACCGTTGCCACCGAATAGCATCGTCTTTAATGATTACTGAACAATCTCTTCGTATATCTCGTAGACCGTGGGCATCGGGCACTAAAAGCCCGAAAATCGAGAACTGTGGCGGCACCAGGCTGGACGGTTTCACGCTATATGCACACAATCCTGTACCAAGTAACTCATCAGTTACACTTGAACCAGATAACTCATCCAACTAATCTGTAAACAGAATTTCGCTTATTCAAATTATCATCGCACGTGGCCTTGCAAGCACTGTGCCGTGCCAGGACACACGCACGCACGCACGCACGCATACGCGCACACGCGCACGTTATCGCTGCAGTTTTCTGGGCAGCGAGCGCTTTCACCCCTGAAGTGAGACCAGCATTACGTTTTCTCGCTCCCTCGGCGGATCCAGTACCAGTTTTCTCTCGTCATCGATCGACGACAGAATGCCAGTCAGTCGACACAATCGGCAGACGGCGGCGTCAAGACACCAGGAGTCCTCTCTGGCGAATGCTTATCAAAGATGCATGCGATAAGCGGAGGTCTATCTGACAGCAAAGCGCGCCCTTCACCGCTGCCCACTTGACCCCGATGGCGAACATCTCCGTTGCAGACTGCATGTCATGGCTGCAAACAATTCACCTTTGCACTTACATTCGGTATTGTTCAGCCGTAACTGCCCTTCCTCTCGGCACAAGAATATGACGAGCGATGCAAGCGTTTCGCAAAAACGTTGCGGGAAAACCAGTTTTCGTCTCACCGGTATGCCGTGCTCAGTGTAATAGTCCGCCGTTCCGATGCTCGCGAACAGCTTGTAGTTCATCTGGTGCAAGATCTTGGCGCTCGACAGAAACTCACTCTTGTGCTGCAAGCACGGCCTTGGTTCAGACCGCGATACTCGACCATTGCAGAATTCATGATCACGTTTCACAAGATACCCGGAGACCGGCGAAATGAACGAAAATGCGGGCTAACAGGCCTCACACGCGAGACAGACAAAGCGAATCAATAGGCGAGACGAAAATTCCAAGTAACTGTCAAGGCAAGTAAGCCAAGTCATAACAGCTAAAGAACCTCTTGAATGGAAGCATCAGCTGTCATCTGCTGCCGTGGCGAGTTTCCCATCGCACGTTTCCATACCAGGGACTGCGAGCTCGAGGCATGACATCTGTCGGCCCGGGGAGGGGGGGGGGGGGGGGAACAGCAGCCACCGCGGGATCGGCCGCCACCTCCACCACGTCCGGTGGTGAGCGCACCTTGAAGGTGCCGATGCTGAGCAGGATGCCCTTGCGCGGAAGACGGAAGCCGGTGCTGAGCATGGCCTTGAGGTAGGCCTGGTGGCGGTTCTCGCCGAAGCAGGCCACCTCGCCCGTGGAGGCCATCTCCACCCCGAGACGCACGTCAGCTCCTGGGGCATCAGCGCATGTCAGAACCACGCCGGACGCAATGTCGGAGGATCCGCGACGGCGACGCGCCATCCAGTGCGAGGACATCGGTGCGATAGCGAACATCGAGGAGCAAGAAATGCGCGGCACCAATGTGGAGTGACGGCGAAGTAGAAAAGCGCTGGTGGCGAAGCGGGCGGCAGCTGGAATCGTTCCCGTGTGCCGAGTTCCTTCCCATACGTGCGGTTTCAGCCACAAGTCGTTGACCCCAGACCAGCAAGAATCCCTCCAGCCCATGGCCTGACGTGCGCCAGGAAGCACGCCACCTGCGCTCACCGGCCAGCCGGGAGAAGGAGAACTGGGCCACCTTGACGCCGACGCGGCCGCCGGCTCCGGCCAGCACGTCGACACGCTCCACCGGCGCGCCCACGATCACGCGCGTGGCCGTGGCGATGAAGTCGTGCTCCAGCGTCTTCGAGACGAACGGGAACGAGCGCGACACGCGCACGTTGCACTCGATCACCTTCAGCACGTTGTCCTGCCGGGGAGGCGGCGGCGCGGAATAAGCGCCCGGACTGTAGTGGCATTGGACGCCGGGTCACGAGGTCGGAATCGGATCCTCGCCGGGGCAGCTTTCAGCAGCGTGGTTGCAAGCAAGTTGCATTGGTATTGATGCCTAAGCAGCTACACGCGCAGATCAATGACCAAACGATGCCACTGGGGTAGCCAAAACTAGGCAACGCGGAGAGTAAGCCCCATTCTCGCGATGCATCCCATAGAATGTCTCAAAAATACAAAATGAGAGAATACAAAAAGATTCACACGAGGTCATTCACATGACAGGTAGGAGAGATTCACACGAGGCCTTTGGGCGGAATCTCCGCACCACGGGTGATTCAGAGCCGCCGATAAGAACACGGAGAGACCCGAGCACACGCAGCCACGCAATCACCCAGCCATGGGACCGGCCAGCCATGCCCGCCTTCGCTGCGGCAGACAGCTGGTCTCGCCTGCCACCAAACCGCCCGTCATGGCGGAAAAGACCTTCGGCCTTTGGGGTCGCCTCCGGTCATTCACCTTGGCTATCAGCTGCATATTGAACGGCCCCGTGACCTCCAGCTCCATGGCGATCGAGGCGAAGATGTCACGAATCGACGAGAGCGTGGCCGCGTTCAGGTCCTACGCAGACACCCAGCCAGGTCAGCGAGGTCAGGTCAGCGAGGTCATGTCAGCGGGGTCAGGTCAGCGGGGTCAAGTCAGCGAGGTCAGGCCAGCAGGCGCAGGCCCTGTGCAGCAGTCTATCCACGTGAGTGAGGCAAGCCATCGCGCAGAACCCTGGTCATCCCTCTCCACTCTCCAAAGGCCGATCGTGACCTTGAGACAGGCGTTATGACGCTGTCACAGGGCTTTCCTCGTAGCTAGCAGGCGATCAAGCTGCCCGACAGCTGTCATATAACTCAATCAACACGCGCTAGCAAGTCGGCCCGTCGCGCAGACTGCCACGGAGTGCTGAGCTGACGGCTCCACTCCGGAGTGACGGCTCCACTCCGGAGCCAGGTTGAAGTACCCGGACCAGCTCAACTCGCGCCGTGTTGATTTCAGAAGTGAAGCCTTCTCTCGGCCACCATGAGTACACCGGCCCGCTATCGCGGCGGCCACAGGTAGGCGGCCGGCAGCCGGCCCGTGAGACATCACGCGTCGCGTCGGCAACGTCACTGGCCTGGGGCGGCGTGACGAGGGTGGCGTCGCCGGAGTGGACGCCGGCGTTCTCCACGTGCTCGCTGACGGCCAGGCAGAGGAGTTCGCCGTCGCGCGCCACGCCGTCCACGTCGATCTCCTGAGGACGGGGACGTGACGTGACGTCACTCGCGGAGCGGGGGTGACGTCACCGACGGAGCGGAGAGTGACGTCACTGCAGAACGGACGGGGGAGGCGACGGCGGAACGGGATGTCAGCCGCGTTGGAGGCGGAAGGAACGGAATGGATGAGTCGGGCCACTTCGAAATCAGCCACTCGATGAATGTCACGTCGTTGCAACCGAACGACAACGGGGGAGTCATTTGATGCCTTTTGAGGGATGGAAACAGAATTACGGCAAACATCAGCTATGGCAGATGTGCAGGTGCGGTCGAAAAGAACACCCATCGGGCGGATGTACGTCTTTTGATAGCCGCAGAAGGTAAACAGAAATGCAGAAGGATGCATAGGCGTAGGAACGTTTCAAAAAGTGTGGGGGGGGGGGCGAGCTCAGGGTGTACTTCATAAACTTTTTCTGAAAAGTGAGCCCGATGACCGGAGGGGGGTAGGGATGGAGGTTGTTATCGCTCTTTATTCAAATGTCATGGCTACTATGCTAGATGTGCATCTACAGCTGTTTATCACTGGTACACAATCTTGCTCATTCGACCTTCCATTTGGCAAATAAGGTTACCCAGCTTCCCTACATTATTCGTCCATCATTTTAACAATGTCTTCCTTGAAGAGGCGAAATTCCACGAGCGGGTATGAATTTTGGGTCATTAAGGAAGCATCTGCTTCCACAGCGTAGATGCCAAAATACGGCCTGGACATAGGCTGGTGAGAATTTTGAAAGTGGATCGATGACTCACAGTGCGACAGATTTTTCATGCGCCTTCATTTCGCTGGCTGCTTTTCAAGAGATAAGACTTGTCGCAGCATTTTAGGCGGAAACAAATTCGGGAGCTTGAAACTGCCAGCAACAATGGGTAAAGCCACAAAACTGGATATTTTCTTTTAAGAATCAAGTCACATAATAAGGCCCATCTGCCATATGTTCCTTATCTGGGCTCTGCTCCTGCTCATTTTAAGCCGATCGACAGCGTCGATTAAGAACTGACTAACGCGGTGTTCTCTGACAGCTACTGACTCTCTGGAGACGACACAAGCAAAACACCAACCACGTCCTCCTTTGCACAAGATGACCTTGACACACCAAACATACCGCTTGCTCCGACGACGCCACCCGTCACGCGAACCGACCTATCTGATGCAGTACCTTGGCCTCCAGGATGAACTTGGAGATGACGACCGGATGCTCCTTGCTGACGGTGGCCGCCTCGCGCAGGTAGACCTCGAGGTCGGTGTGCGTGTGCGCCACGTTCATGGCGGCACCGCTGAGCACGTACGAGGGCCGCACCAGGCATGGGTAGCCGACCTCCTCACAGAACCGGCGCGCAGACTCCACGTTTGTCAGCTCCTTCCATCTGCGGCGACGGGTGAGGTCAGGTCAGGTCAAGTCAGGTCGGGGCAGGTCGGGGCAGGGCAGGACAGGACAGGGCAGAGGACAGCAGAGCAGCCCAGGTCAGGCCAGGGCAGGGCAGGGCAGGGCAGGGCAGGATATGCCACATCAGGTGGTATTTGGTTATGTCAGGCCTATCCGACCTACCCTGCTACGTCGTTTGGTCATATTAGGTTAAGTCATGTTCGGTTTGGTCGTGTTCGGTTCGGTAATATTAGATATGGTTATGTCAGAACAGGTCTGCTTGATCAGGTCCAACAAGCAAGGCCATGATAAGTTTCGTCATAACTGGTGCAGTTAGGTCAGGTGGAGTAGTTTATCATGCCGGGACCACCCCTGGCCATTCTCAGAGCCTTAGCGTGGCTTGGACGTTTTCCCAGGCCGAATGTATTTTTTCGAATATATATTTACAACACCAAAGCTTGCTTATGCGTCTATGCCCAGGCCAATGTACTCGAATAACAGAACACTCGAAGCAGAACAGCGAAATTCCCCGACCAATATGTGCTCTTTGCACTGTTAAGACTGTGAGTAGACAGTGATCTAGGAGCTAGTAAAATAAATTGGACCTGTCAAACATGAAGCAGTCCACCGCGCACTCAAGCCTTATATTGAAACGGGTGCAGGAACCTCACCCGATATCTATGTTGTCGTTCCCTATCCGTTATTGTGTACACCTGCAGTGTCTGATATATACCGAACCGATAACACTACTGCTTCCATTTACGACTATCGGCTTTTGTGTTACCAAGTATTCTATCAAACAGCGCACGTGGTTGCGGCTTGAAGGCCACCACGGGCAGAGAATAAACACATCGTCAGGGACGTGACATGTCGCCAGGGTTGACTGTGATTCGAGTGTGAGCTTGGTTAAGTAGCTGAGCAGAATTTTCATCGAACGTCGTATGAATAGTCCCGCACAAGATCGGCCACGGGCGGCTGTATCTGCTCTCCTTCCACCGTGACATAAACACGATAAATCCGTAGCCAGGGACAGGCTCAGCACCGGATCGTGGAGGACAGTTTTGGCCCAAAAGCTCCAAACTTGGGCCGAACATACTGGACCTTGTCCAAAATCTCAAGTTTGATGGTTTCCACTGCCTTACGAATGGTCATAGGCCATTACCTCTTCCCCACCCCCACCCCTTCAACTTGGGTCCACCTCTGTCCGCGGCTCACCTCGGCTGCTGGATGCCGATGCGGTCCAGCATGCGAGAGAACTTGAAGCGGTTCTCAGCGCCGTCCACCGACTCGGGCGAGCTGCCCAAGATGCGCGCGTGCTGCCGGTGCAGCTGCATCGCCATGTTGTTGGGCAGCTGGCCGCCCATGCTGATGATGATGCCTTCCGGGTTTTCCAGCCGGTAGATGTCCATCACTACCTGCGGGCCGGCGGGAGGGGAGGGCGCGTAGTCAGCATTGGCGGCGGAACGGCGGATGTGTCCGGGTGGAGAGAGGAGGTTCCAACTTCGTTTCTTTCCATGCCATGTCTTAAGGAGAAGATGACCCCTTAATCCGCCCGCGCCATTCAGCGCTCCTCCTGGTGAAAAGTCTGAGCCAGCGGATAGTGGGCCAACCTTGGTAAGTTTGCGATGCTCACGTCAGTTGACTCAGACGCCACTTAAACGATATACCAGCCACAGACTCGACATCCATTACGAGAGTAAGCGGAAACGTTTGCAATGCAAGCATGCACCGCACACGAAAGAATCGTGGCGCCAGATCTAAAGTAATTAGAAAAATCGATGTTAATCGCGCATAGGTCCGTAACTGAACGAATGCCGAAATGCCACGTTTACCACACCGGCTTCATCACCAGGTGGCGTGCTCACCTCGGCGGAGAGCTCGTCGAAGTACAGCCGGTCGCACATGTCGTAGTCTGTGCTGACCGTCTCTGGGTTACAGTTGACCATGACGGTGGGTCGGCCCAGCTGACGCAGCTCCCTCACGCAGCCCACCGCGCACCAGTCAAACTCCACACTGCTGCCGATCCGGTACACCCCGGAGCCTGCCGGATCATCGGGTCAGGTCAGGTCAGGTCAGGTCAAGTCAAACTCCAGACTGCTGCCGATCCGGTACAATGCGGAGCCTGCCGAGTCACGGGTCTGGTCCGGTCAGGTCAGGTCAAACTCCACACTGATGTCAATCCGGTACACTGCGGAGCCTGCCGGGTCACCGGGTCAGGTCAGGTCGAACTCCAGACTGCTGCCGATCCGGGGCTCTGCGAAGCCTGCCAAGTCGCCGGGTCAGGCCAGGTCAGGTCAAACTCCACACTGCTGCCAAGCCGGTACACACCGGAACCTGTCGGGTCGCCAGGTCAGGTCAGGTCAGACTCCGCACTACTGCCAGTCCGGTCACTGCGGAGCTTGCCGAATCGCCGGGTCAGGTCAGGTCAGGTCAAACTCCACACCGCTGCCAAGCTGGTCACTGCGGAGCCTGCCAAGTCGCCGGGTCAGATCAGGTCATGTCAGGTCAAACTCCACACTGTTGCCAATCCGGTGCACTGCGGAGCCTGCCGGGTCACCGGGTCAGGTCAGGTCAATCTCCACACTACTGCCAACTCGGTCACTCCGGAGCCTGCCGAATCTCCGGGTCATTTCAGGTCAGCTCAGGTCAAACTCCACACTGCTGCCAAGCCGGTACCCTGCGGAGCCTGCCAAGTCGCCGGGTCAGGTCAGGTCAAACTCCACACTGCTGCCAAGCCGGTACACACCGGAACCTGGCGGGTCGCCAGGTCACGTCAGACTCCGCACTACCACCAGTACAGTGCGATTCCGAGAAGACAAGGTGTGAAGCCAGGCGAAAGGAGTTCAGAAACCGCTGCCAAAATTGGAGGAGATGGAAACGAGAACATAACCCACAAAAAACAGCCGAAAACTCGCGGTCTTTGATGAGCACTCATCGCCGCGGACGCATCAAGCCCGACAACGAGGCCTGAAAACCATCATCTGGTTTACAACCCGTCATGTCCATCACAGCAGGACCAAACCCATCACAGACCGCCGCACAGTTGACCCTGACCACGGCCGATTCACCGCCGCCGGTGCCGGTGGCACGACGTGTGCGTTTAGGGAACCACAGGGGGGGGGGGGGGGGGAGGGGGGGCACTGACCCAGCACGATGGTGGCGCCGCCCGGGAAGGTGATGTCGTCCGTGGTGCCGTTGTAGGTGAGGTAGAGGTAGTTGGTGGTCGCCGGCCACTCGGCCGCCACCGTGTCCACCTGCTTCACGCACGGCCGCACTCCTGGAACGGGTGGGGGCGCCGTGTCACAGACGGGGACGGCAGGCGGCGCTCAGGCAGATGCGGACACCGTATCCGAGGACACGGGTTAATGAGAACTGGAAGCACAAAGTCAAGGCTGTGGTATCACGAAATGCCAGGGAGAAATGGGGATATTCTGAGGCAAACGACTAGTGTGGTCCAGAGCATGACGCCAGAGCGCGTTGTGCAATGACTGGACCCAAAGTGAGCATTCCAAACAGTTTTTTTTAGAACGAAGTCAGGACCTGAGCCTCGACAGACCGACAGCACACAAAGTTAGCATCGCCGAGAATTCAACACCAGTCTTTCGACGTTCACGCCACAGCCGCGAACAGCGCAGGAGCATTGTACAGCAACAGCACGGGAGTACTGCACAACAACAGCACAGGAGCACTGCACAGCAACAGCGCAGGAGTACTGCACGGCAACAGCAAAGGAGTACTGCAACAGCAACAGCGCAGGAGTACTGCACAGCAACAGAGTAGGAGCACTGCGCAGAAACATCACAGGAGCACTGCACAGCAACAGCAGGAACGGTCTCTGCGCGGGCCGGATGGTGGCCGAGTCTCTCACCGAGTTTGCGCCTCATCTTGGCCACGGCCTGCTCGGGAATACCGACGCAGTGCCCGATCTGCTGGTCGGAGAAGCCCAGCCGCTTGGCCAACAGCAGGTGGTCGTGACTCAGCGTCTCGGTGCCGGCCAGCCGCGCCGTGTGCTCTGTCGAGGGGGGGGGGGGGGGGGGTCGCGCCACACTGACCGCCAGCTTGCTACCCGTCTCACCCACGGGGTGTCACGTGATCCGATCATGGTGGGATCAGGGGGGGGGGGGGGGCATTGGGTCGGGCGTGCATGGAGTAGGCGGCAGTTCGTTGAAGTATGCGCGTTTATGGTTCCTCTGTATGTTGATATATTTGTATTGGGATTTTTGCTGAGCTACTTTAAATTGATTTCAGAAACCATGGCCGGCACAATGATAAGCGAACAAAACGCCGATCAAATACGTTAAAACGCGATGAGAAAGCGCTCGATGCGCATTACGGTGAACCACCGCCACCATTTTCGTGTAAGACACCATGGGATACGCAGAAGAACGACTGGGGAGAGAGGGAGTGGGTACAGGAGCTCGCCAACCCCTCAGACTCGCATTTACTTTATTTAAATACCATAGACGGCTCGCTTGATTGCCTTACAATTGCTCACAAAGATTCTCCTTCCCCTCCTAAAAACTCTGTGGTTCTGGTAATACGATATACTTCACAGCAGGTGCAAGCAATAGCAAGAACACGAGGAAAAAAGATAGCGATGATTGACTACGACAGGCTGACAACATTGAAGAGGTGTACGGCGTACGACGAAACATAACCGTACGGACCACCTACCGATTATGTTCTTCATCTTGTGTAGGAACCACCTGTCGATACGGGTCAGTTCGTATAGGCGGTCTATGGTGTAGCCGGCCTTCAGCGCCGCCGCCAACACAAACATCCGCTTGTCCGTCGGCTGTTCCAGCTCCTGTCAATGGGGAAGTGTGTTCTTGACAACCACGCTTTCAACAGGCCCGTATGGTATACCGCTTGATGTCTCGAAATTATTCCTTTCGACGGATGGATTGAATGGAGATACTTAAGATCTACAAGGTATTAACGTATTCTCAACACTTAGTAGTGCCATACAAGCAATCAGGCAACACACTGGGGGGGGGGGGGGGGGAGGGGGGGATATGTCACCAATCACCGCTCACTGCCGCGTTATCCTCTGTTCATTCTACATTCAAGAATGCCAAACACACGTGGTGGCCCCTCGGCGAAGAGGCGGAGGGGATGTAGCGCGCAGCGCCACATCGGCGCTGAGAGCCCTGGCGCTGGGCTGGGCCTGGGGAGGCCTACCTCGTCCGAGGGCGGCTGCAGGTCGGGGTCGAAGCCGGTTACGCTGCCGTCCACCATGCGGAGCGCCTTCTGGAACGCCTCCTCGAAGCCGCGGCCCAGTGCCATCACCTCGCCCACGGACTTCATCGAGCTGCCGATCTAAGGACGCAACAGCTGGTGAGCTGAGGACGCAACAGCTGGTGAGCTGAGGATACAACAGCTGGTGAGCTGAGGACTCAGCAGCTGGTGAGCCGAGGACGCAACAGCCGGTGAGCTGAGGACGTGACAGCTGGTGAACTGAGGACGTAACAGCCGGTGAGCTGAAGATACAGCAGCTGGTGAGCTGAGGACGCAACGGCTGGTGAGCCGAGGACGCAACAGCTGGTGAGCTGAGGACGTAACAGCCTGTGAACTAAGGACGCAGCAGCTGATGCGCCGGGAAACATGATCTGGCCATCTCAGCAGCCAGGGATCCACTACAAAGAGAACGAAGCTCGCTGCCGATCCACGTTCATGGTGAAAGAGCTGACGCTCTGAGGACAAGAGCTGCCAGCTGCTGAGGACCACAGCACAGGAGCAGCCGGTTTGTGGAAATGAGGACCGCTGCTGATCTGGGGACAAAAGAGACGGTGAGCTGATGCCGTGTACAGCTTCATCTCTGAGCACTGCAGATGAATTGTCTGGACGACACCTGAGACCGCCCATCTGAGGAAGCGGAGCTGCATACCTGGGGACACAAGAAGCTGTCAGTCCGAGAAAACTGGGAGCTTTAACGCCTAAAGCGCAGCGAATCACCGATCTGAAGATGATGGGTGTCGCCCACTTGTGACCACAGGGCTCAAAATCCCAAGCCGTATTTATCAAAGCGCAGGGGGGAGGGGACGTTAGCGCACAGCTCATAGAACTGCAATCCGTTTTTGGAGTCCCCTGAATGTATTCCCGTACACGCGGCGGCGTAAGGCCCATCTGTCATAAAGGGCCACGTGGAGAAACGTTTGACGTTACGAGAATTCCGAGACGAACATGGATTGACTCTTCGCGCGCGACTCGCGGCGGACGTTACCTTGGTGCTAACTCTGGTGAACTTGCCCAGATCCCAACGGGGCATCTTGACAACACAGTAGTCCAGGCTGGGCTCAAAACAAGCGGTGGTCTTGCCTGAAATCGCAGCGGCGTGGTCAGCAGTTATCACGCTTAGTGCTTAGCCTTATGTTTACCTTCCATGACTCTGAAAATGCCCCAAAAATGCGGCATTTTGATCTCAAGACAGCTAATCAAGTGAACAGAAAACATTGCTGCTTCCAATAGCTCTTAGAATGCCCACCGAACATTGTTACTTTTCGTGTGCACACTCATCCCGTGTACCAAGAATCATCGGAGAGATACCCCGTGTTTGTTGTTTACGCCACACTACGTCAACACTCCAACGCGCCGTCCTTGTAGGGATGCGGCCTTGGTGTAGGTCAGCGTATCGAACCTCTGATGCACATCTGTTTGCAACACTGAATCAAATCCAACTGAAGTCATTCAAGCTTCAAACACCGGGCAGAAACACCAAAACACGCAAGCCTCCACTGTGGCCATTCAGTGGCAACCTGCGCCCCCCTCTAGAGGGACAGCACAGCACCCGCCCGAGGGTTCAGCAACCGCCGCAGAAGCTGGCGTCCAACAGAAGGCCCGGTGTCCACGCAACGACCCGGCGCCTGCTAGGTGGTCCCGTGTTCACCAGAGGACTCGGCGCTCTCTAACACGGGGGAACGTTGCAACTCGCAACATGCCGCGAGAGGGCCCTGCGCCCACCTGTGACGGAGTTGCAGAGGTCCGGCAGCGCCTTGTTCAGCGCTAGCTTCGCTGCCACGTACGCCAGCGGGTACCCGGTGGCCTTGGAGGCCAGCGCCGAGGAGCGAGACAGGCGCGCGTTCACCTGGGAACCGCCCCGAAGAGCTCCTCATCACACCGCTCGGTACGACGCGGTGGTGGCGGGTTGGCGGCACACCCCGCGGAAAAGGCTGCACGCCAACAATACCGTAGGCCAACGATCTGTGCATACGCAGTTCTGGCCGCACTGTAGTTCAGCTCCGCGACTAAGGCGCACACCAAATGCTCGCCATGAAGTGGCAATACTAACATCCCATACTGTGCTGAAGCCCACCTCCATGGCATAATGGGTACTTATTAGAACCTGGCTTTCATTACAACTCATCTCTAGGACGAGGCAGCGACGCGATTATCTCCGCCCCTGCACACCCTATCTGCGCCCTGCCCTTTCCCACCTGCACCACGCCGGACCGGCTCTCCACTGCCGTCCCTCTGCCCCCGCCCCTGCCGCACCTCTATGATGTAGTACTGCTCTGAGTCGGGGCTGAGCGCGTACTGAATGTTGCACTCGCCGACCACGCCCAGATGGCGAATCACGTTCAGCGCGGTGGTGCGCAGCCGGTTGTACTCGTGGTCAGAGAGGGTCTGGCTCGGAGCCACCACGATCGACTCGCCGGTGTGGATACCCAGCGGGTCCACGTTCTCCATGTTGCACACCTGGGCGGCGGCACGGAGACGGCTGAAATCCTGTCTGGTCTGGGTGCTAGACACGGCTGCACGAGTGTAACGTGGTGGATTGCCGAGGCTGTGTTTGACGCGGGATTAGGATAGCTTTTGTCGATAGATTGCGCTCGCTGTTGACAGCGTGCTCGCGAAGATACGATAGACGGCAAAGCCCGATTCACACACTCGACAAAACACGACAACGACGCTTTGCTTTCTTGTACGTTAAAATTGCAGCAGCCACTGCCTGACGTCATGGACAAAATCAATCAGATTAGGAGCTGGCTTTTCAAAGAGCTAAATGCATCAGGACAGCAGCAGTCCGTGCTCGATAACATCTCACGCAATACTGCGTAAAGATATGTCCGAACAAACATAGCCCCATCAGCAACTGAAGGTCATCAAAACAACGCAAGGCAGTGAACACAGCGTAGCATTCCATACAGCGTTGCACTTCCTAGCGCAGGTGCCCGGGCGCTGGCGGAAGCCGTGGAGCCAAACACCTGGACGGCCTACTCAGACAGCCGTGGGCGGCTGGCAGCCGGACACCAAGCGAACGCCGGCATTACCGTGACGCAGTTGTCATACGCGTCCCGGACCACCTCGTACTCCACCTCCTTCCAGCCCTTCAGCGACTTGTCTGGAATGCACAGCGAGCAACGTGCCTGCGTTAGCTCTCTCACGATCGGATGGTAGGTTTGTGAGACTTTTGGGGTCATCGACTCGCAAGGCTATGCACTGTCTATCCGGCGATTGACGAAAGTTAGCTCACATGCTGACCGACCAGGATTAACGGCTCCCTATCATTAAATTGTTGTTACACTGGGAATATCGAGCACAAAGTATCTGTTTTCTAGGTTAATCGTCATATGTACTCAATCTCTGTTTCCCTAATCTTGCACAACCAGGCCCATTATCCAATTAAATCTTGCTCCCATCCATATCTTAAACGCTTAGTCCAAAATAGATGGGTCAGACCGACCTATGATGACCTGAGGCGACCTGGCCAGAGCGGTAGTGACCAAGGCCCGCAGGCCTTCCGGATTACTGGCGAAGCCGGAGCCGAGTCCACCGAGGGCGAACGCTGCGCGTGCCATGACCGGGTAACCGAGCACGGCAGCCGCATCCAGCGCCTAGTGGCGAAACACGGAACTTGTGGTGAGGCCGACTCCCGCCGGCCAGCGTCGCACTTTAATTGCTTGATGCGCAAACGTACACAGCGGGCTAGGACCTTAGTCACTGAGAGATCCTCTAGTTTTGTGACATATTGAACAAAAAAAGTGGATCTGATTCAGAACGTGAAACCATAGCATATGAGCATATCTCCTTTCAATGATTACGCATGAAACATTAATCACATTTCTGTCGCCCCTCAGGAGACCACGACCATTTTTTTTTTATTCAGCTCTGCCACTTTGACTGCGGCCACGATGTGTGGAGACAAACACAAAAGGTCTCACTGTTCTTTCTAACTTCAAGCATCCAACAAACTGCGTTTCATCCCACGCTCTCGTTCAAGCCTGCCCCGGCGACAGCGTTCCCGGCCGCGTGGCGCAGATGTCGCTGACGTCGCCGTCACCTGCTGGACCGTCTCGGCGCAGGCGGAGGGCGCCACCCGCTCGCCGATCTGCTCGACACTGGCGGCGAACGCCTTCCGATCCTCCGTCTGCATGACGGACTGGATCGGCGTGCCTGCAGGGACGATACACTGCCGGTCCGATGCCACGGCGGAGGGCAATCTTTCACGCTCATGTTTGGCTCAAACAGCGGACATCACTCAATTACAGAGAGGGGTAATCATAACGCGTGTCGGCACTCTGGTATCCTTCACGTTCATGTTCGGCTCAAACAGCGGACATCAGTCAATTACAGAGAGAGGTTATCATAACGCGTGTCGACGCTTTGGTTAATGAGAGCCGCTGAAGATGATGTGATCAGCGCAATCAGGACCAGCTCTGTAGGGTTTACTGGTGGCATGTCATGGGCGCTCCCACGACCGACCACGTCCATTTCACGGAAGAGACCACCGGACTGGGTCTGAAGTCCCTCAATGCAGACGGTTTTGTCAGACTGCGATACAGCGTGCAGCGCCAGCAGACCAGAACACTGCCGCACCCCGCTGTTTCACTGACCGAGCACGTGGACGCCGTACTTGGCCAGCACGCCGCTCTTGTCCAGCGCCACGCCGCAGTTGAGCGCCGTCTGGCCGCCGAACGTCAACAGGATGCCGTCCGGGTGCTCGGAGCGGATCACCTGCGCGCCGGCAGCACGGCGGGGTCAGGACGGCCGGCGTGCGGGGCGGGGGAGGGTCGCCTGTGGTGGCGGACGATACAGCGGGGTGGAGGACGCAGAGCGGCGCAAACGGCCCCTTCGGGCCGACGCATGAAGCGGCGAGGTTACGGACAAAGTGACGGCGGTTTGGTTGACCTCAGCGTAAGGAGAGGTCAGAATCGTCCCAGGAAGTAAACTGCAGGCCACAGTCACAGGCATTACAATTCAGCTGAGTGAGAATTACTGCTAAACAGCATGTCGACCCCACACACATGGGAACGACAAATGGAGAAGTCCACGACAGAATGAAAAGGGAGACAGTTAAGCTGATTAAGCACAGAACTACCACCGGCGGCTGAGGTAAAGGCCACCAGATGGTAACACCGAGCGAGATGAGCTGCGTTCTTTGTCACACCCACCTGCTCCACATACTCGGGCGTGATCGGCAGGAAGTAGACCTTGTCAGCCATGCCGCGCGACGTCTGCACAGTGGCGATGTTGGGGTTGATCAGCACCACCTGCACCTCCTCCTCCTTGAGCGCCTTGATCGCCTGGCTGCCCGAGTAGTCGAACTCGCCGGCCTGGCCGATCGAGAGGCCGCCGGATCCCAGCAGCAGTACCTGCTCAAGGGTCCGGAGAGGGCGCAGGGTCACGGAGGAGCGCAGGGGAGGGAGGGGGGGGGGGGGCGCCCCCCGCCGGCCTGGCCGATCGAGAGGCCGCCGGATCCCAGCAGCAGCACCTGCTCGAGGGTCCGGAGAGGGCGCAGGGTCACGGAGGAGTGCAGGGGGGGGGGGGGGGGGGGCCGCCGGCCTCGACGGGAGTCGCCGCACGGGAAATGGAGCCCCACCACTGTTGTAGGGAGAGATCTGCGCGTCCGTACTCAATGCGACGAGCTCATACCCTTGTTTAAAGGTAACTTCCAAAGCAGTTGTGTTTCGTTTCTGGAAAAATATGGCATACCTTATTAATCGGAGTCGCCTTGTGAGCTTTGCAGTCAATAGAGATCCATCCAAACGTTTCGTTCCACGCCTACGCCTCTCCACGGCACGAGTCCACCATTACGCTACGGCACGGCACACGGCACGGCATCGGTAAATGTTAAGGACGGAGGCGTATAGATATCGTGATAAATATCGTGATCATCCAAAGCGGACGCAAGGTTTAAAACAAGCCAGGCGTCGGTCAAAGTTATGGTCCATCATGTTCAGGTCAATCGGCAGTTGCACCTTTCTGGGCTTGGTGGTGAGCGGGGCGACAGATGGGGTGAAGGTCAGAGCCCGCCCCAGCAGCCTTGGCAGGCCAGCCGGCTGTCCGGTCGCACGGCGGCGCACCGCCTCCAGGAACACGTCGAACAGGCCCTCCAGGTCCTCTGGGCCCGCTCGGTGCTCCGGATGAAACTGCACACTGCCAGCAGACGAGACGGATAACTGCACACTGGCAACAGAGCGGAGAGGACTGCACGCTGCCGTTGGACGAGAGAAAGAGAGAGCTGCATACTGCGACGG